ACATTTGTGTGTCCTGACTAATGCAGACGGTGAAATGTGCACGCGGTTCCATTTACACTACAAGGATACACATTGATCTCCTGTAGATCTGGCTGAAAGGTTAGCTGTGACTTTGCACTTTGGACTTTAGCACTGTGTCTGTGATTATTCTCAAAGTGTGCCAAACCTAGAGCACAGGATAGCCTGCAGCTTGTTGCCTTCCCCTCTGAAGGGCTGACACAGTATAAGATTTCTATAGAATTCAGAATTTACCACTGTGTTTAAGCACCATCGATGTAAAGCATGTACACATCAAAGCGCCTCCAAAGTCTCTGAGCCACTACTTCAATTAGAACTCTTGATGGTGATGATGAATTAAAAATACGTGGATCAATGTGAATCTACCTGCACAGCTTCTCCTCAAAACATCATTTTGTTTTTTCAGCGCTGTGCCACTACTCTGACGTGGAAAGCATTAATTTGCCTTAAGCGGGTATAGCTAATGGCGTGGTACTCCGAATATGCTTTTTCCACATTGTGCTGTTATCCAGAGGGTGGGGTTGCGGCTGTGCATATCCTGCACTTAGCCACAATCATCATCTGCACTAACACTGCTACAGCAGTATTTTTGCGTCTCTTGAGGATTGATTAGACTCGTCCTAAAGCGTGGACAATCCATCTCAACCATTTGATGTAAAGTAGTATCTACATAATGGCACACCAGTTCACAGAGATTATCCAAAATCAATACAAGTTCTCAGATGTGTAACTAGAGGTACTGGATTTCAAAGTGCAATTTTCACTAGAAGATGGTTCCAGAGGGGCAACATTATTGACTGAGGATATGTAAGGTGTCTGTTGATTCAACCCATGACAAAACAAACAATACATTCTGACATTGTAATCATCTAAGAAAATATTATGTAATAAAAGTATGTTGTTTCTTAGGTGTTCTGTTTAATACATGTCTTTTCTACTGATTGAATTGTACAACATAATAGTTTAAACAGAGGTCTTACTTACTTTCTGTTTGTAGAACAGCATAGTATATTACTAGATAAATACTTAAACATTTTACCTGCTAGCAAAATGGATTCCGTGCACATTCAGAGGACGTGCCGTACTTTCCATGTGCCTTTGTGGTGTATGGTGCCAATACGAGCTATCTGAGCGAGGGTAATCCTGTGGTTTTCACACCGGAATGGCTTCCCTGTCTGTATCACACCTTCTGCTAGCTGTTAGCCCCATGGAGAGAGGGAGATAGTCACTTTGGGCACATTATTTTTCATTGACAGATTCAAGGCAGGAAATACCATCTGCACGTGAGGTTACGATTGTTTGTCTCTGCATTTTAACACTAAAGCTGTTTTGTTTTTCTAACATATACTGCAGGCTTACTGCAGAGGCCACCGTCTTTATCTGTGTATTCAGAGATAGAACTGGTGTAGTTACCCACCATGGCCACTAGGTGGATGCAGGTTATGCCCAAGGTGGTCACTTATGGAGGACTTTGCTCTGCAGAAGAGCTGATAGTGGGAATCTCTCGCATAGATCTACTTGCATAAAGCTCCTGACTCACACAGAGCTCCTACAGAAATATTTACAACACACATTCTGCAGGACTGTGGAAGTGCGCTCTGAGTCAAAAGTGCCAGAAACCCCCCCGCTCTCCCCCCACGAGCTTCCCTCATTACCATATGAGTGTCTCCAGCCAGACGGCCTGTATGTGCGTGCGAGAGTGTGTGTGTGTGTGTATGCGTGTGAAAAAGAGAGAGCATGAAATGCCAATGTTTCTATACGTGCAAATGCTTGTGTGAACAATTTGTATGTGTTCATTTAAATGTGGACCCAGTGCATCTCTCACCTTCCCACTAGTCTGAAGCAAAATGAAGTCTGTCTGGCAGTGCATGTCTATTGTGTAGTGCTAATGTGATAGCAGAGATTAGCATTGTAATCCATTTAGCATAGAGCAGCTAATCCACTTTATTACTGTTGAAAAGGAATCAGATAATATTGGCTAGCACCAGCATAGCTGCCTTAATGATTTTAGGCTGATGAAAAATTACTTTAAGATATATTAATAATTACTGTTGCTGATAATGAATCTTGGATTAGTAGTTTTATAACAAACCATATCATTATTTTTGGTTTATTATCTAAGGAATAAAGGTATTATTTGGCCCAGTGTATGCTTTTTATTTATTGTGTGCGTTTTTGTATTCATACAAATCATTCAGCTGAGGTTTGTTTTTTATTTAATTTTAGAGTGCTTTTCATGGAGTATTATTCCTCTAAAATGCCAGGTTTTATATCCGCGCAGATGAAGGTAACTGCTGTCATAAAGCCAAAAAGCCCAGGGTGACCGTGCTTGTGTCGATTAGAAGAGAACAGGTCAACATTATTACATTGCATGTACCAATTATTGTAGCAGTAAGGCCACTGATCTTTGATTCAAATCAGACTTCCTCCCTTGTGTCTTCCCCTCCAGTCCCCGTGTGACTAAACCCGCCACTGTTGCATGCTTGTGGACATGCTGTGCGCTCCCTGGTGGCTCATTTGTTTTGTTGGTGGTCAGATTGAGGGATAATATACAGGAGCTTCCCCTTGAAGCCTGTCTGCTCCCTGGTGACTGTGGATCTGTCCCAACACAATAAAACTCTATATTCAGCCACTGCTATAGACTGTCAGCCCTTTAACTTCGCACAGCAATTGACTCCACACTTTATGCAATGGAGGTAAGCTGATAGGCACATCTCTCCATGCATGCACATGCACACACATGCCGTGTACTGCGCACATATGCACAGCACCTAAAATTAACTCACCCAATTGGGCAGATTAGATAACCCCACCTGCTGAATCTGGCCCTGGCTCGTGTGCAAGTTTCTTTCTTCTTACTTTCTTCTCTTCTTTCTCTCTCCTATTTGCCTTCTGTTCTTTTCTTTGCAACTGACCCTAGTGCATACAATGGTTCCCAGTGGAAGTGTGTGAGGCTTTGATAAAAAGAACTCATGGTTCTTTGAGATCAAGGTCACTACACAAGCCAAGCAGGAGGCACAGCGAGAGAGGAAGAATGACTGGGAAACAAACACGGGGGGAGAATCGGGTGAAATCAGGGTGAAAGATGGTGCCTGTTTAAAGAAATGTCATGTTGTGAAACTGGATATCAGTAGAAACAGCAGGGCAGGGTAGTCCTTAAACTGCACCCAGTCTACTTAGGTTTCTGTCTTTGCTATACAATAGATGACTGTCAAAGCAAAGACAAAGGAAAGTTCCATTGAACCAGCAGAACTTTTTCTGTTCTGCGGGATAAAGTGAAAGCGGAATCGACTGGTATTGTCCCTTCCTATAAAGAACATGTCTATGGTGTATCCTAAAGCTAATATTAATCCTTCCACCTTGATGATGGAAAAAATAAAACCTTGAGTTAGAGAACATAACACCATGACCCGTGGTGCATACAAATAGTCAAGCCTTTTCTTAACAATAAATTTCACAAGGTAAGGCTGAAATACATGTACGTGCCCTTCAGTTGTTTTAATCCAGTCCCTAAAAGAGATGTCTCGGCTCTGTATTCATTATCATTTTACCAAATGGTTCAGTCAGAGCAAGTCAGACTTCTTGACCTTAAACAGACTTTAGTTTAGGGTGGGCCAGCAGTGTCTTTTTTTTTTATGATATGCTGACAGAGAGAATACAGAGCGCGTGTTGTCATGAGCTTATTATAATTAATCATGAAATGACTCACCTGTCTGCTCCACCATCTGCTTCCTGTCCAATTATCTCCTGTTTGTGCCTGTTACCTGTGAACCCTTAAGTGCTGAAGAGCACAAAGAACTACCAAGAGTCATCACAACTTTAACAAGACTTGCTTCACACCTGTCCACAAGCCCACAAAGGCCTGTGCATGTCAGCGTGTATTCTACTGGGTTCTGAAAGTTGCTTGGGTAGGAATGTGTCAGAACTACGTGTTACTGCAAAATTAGAGACAGAGGAGCAGATTTAGAAAGGATCATTTGGAGCGCTCCCTGTGTGTGGATGTGTGTATGTGAAGCGATGTAAGCAGATGTTCTGGCACAACCCCGACCACTTCCATCACATCACCAGCGGTGAGTGGGGCCAATTCCATGCACTTTCTGCTGAGTAAACTCACCTAGGGGCCCATAGACCACACCTCTTGCCCAGATGCCTTATTACCATAATTACTTTTGAATGGCTCAAACTGTGATCGAGAAAGAGTCGCTTCTCAGATACAGCAGTAAAAGCTGTGATGCATGGGAAAATCCTCAAGCAGTATGCACTGGATGGTTTTGCCAGTAATAACATCCAAAAGTACCTTTTTAATGATTCCTAAGTTCCTATTTGCACACTTTGTTGTCCTAAATGCTACCTCTGTTCCATGAGCAAGTCCTTCTTTGTGGAAGGCGACAACACTCTTTCTCACTTTGGGGTTTTTCTTGGTTTTGTTTTTGTTTTTTTAAATCAGTTGTTCTTTATTTCTGTTATATTTTCAGCAGTTAACACAGTCCAATTTGCAGTAACTTGTTAATGAATTGTAAAAATATTTTAATTGCAGACGTAGTGAAAGTAAATTGTAATAAAACAGGTGTTGCTGGCTTTTAAATATGCTTCGGTACCTCTGGAGTACCAGTGCTAACCTAATATTCGCTTGGTTGTTGCATTTAAAGCGCCAAAAAAGGATGCAAAAAAAAACCCCAAAAACACTGACCGGGGCGCTCTCTCCATGTCAGATGTTAATTATTATAGCTGCTTCTAAGACAAGGAGTGCAATTGCTTAGCATTTTCTTTTCCTAGATCAATAGATATTCAAATAATTCAACTCTCTGCACAGTTGGCACTAGCACAATAAGTCTAAATAACAGCGCCAGCAAAAATTCACTCGCTTTCTAATAGGTTTTGAATGTTATTATTTTAATACCTATGAAACAATGTTGGCGCTAAAGTGATTAGAAATGCATAATAAATATATGAATTTTTTATGTGCTTCTATGTTTTTCCAGATCCGGGTAGATGGCTCGTCGCGTGCCCTTCAGTATGAGACGGTCCAGGCTGTGGAGAATGGACCCATCCTCAGAGACATGGCCTTCTCTTCTGACCACCACTACCTCTATGTCATGTCTGAGACCCAGGTCGGACACTCAAACAAACACATACATTAAAAATCCTCCCTGCTGACTCAATATCATAACCACTGGCATTTATCATTTTCTTATGTCAGAGGGTAGAATAACCTTTGGTGTGGCATAGAGGATGTCATTACATCCTGGCTAGAGGAGAGAAAAGGATTAGATGGCCCAATGGATGCTGTGACCATGTCTTTTTATAGAAACATACTGTGAGGGTAGAGCTGGAGTGAATAAATGTGTTGAATTATAGGGAGCGAGGAGAGTGGTCTTAGTTCACTTCTGTCTGTGCCGAACAGTGCTGGTGTGTATGTCTCTGCACAGGCAGATTCACACATGCACACTATCTCCCTTAGTACCTTTGATGACATGGAATGTGGGGCGAAATAGCAGCACTCTGTGTAATGGACACAGACACAGAGTCTGTGAACACCTCTATCAGAGGCAAAACCTCGCCAAAATAGCCATGGAAAGTCACGTAAGTGCACATTCCTGTGACCAACAGTGTTAGATATTCACTTTCTCTTTACATTCCACACACAAAGACGCACGGCCGCAGCCATGTACTTAAATTATATTTTATGTGTGGGAATGATGAATTATAGGTTGAGCCAAACGTTGTCTGCATGCATGATGTAAGCACTCAAATGACTGAACATAAATCATGTGACGTTACGAATATCAAGCAATGAAGTCCTTTTGACTTAGAAATGTCCAAAATTCCTCTTCAAAAATGATTTCACTTGTTAATTTTCCTCACAGGGAAATTACCTTAAATGAGTCCTGATCCTGAAAGCTGAGATTTTGTCACGGAAACAGTAAATGCACAGACATGTAGCGTTCAGCTGTGATGAAAGAAGTACTCAGATGCTTTAGTCAGCGAAAAGTAGCAAAACCACCATACAAAGCATTACAACTGAAAGTGTCTCAAGTAAATGAATGAATGAAATTAAATGAAAAATACTTTATTTATCCCAGACGGGAAATTCAATTCTCAAAATATTATTAGCTTTAATTTGTTTTACATAATATAAAGTGCTTGTGGTGAAAAATCAGGATTTGTGTGTGATCCAGGAATGCATAGTCAGCATTTTACTGTTCTGTATCTAGACAGTTGTGCGAGTTGTAACTACTTTATTGAAGAGATGCACAACATATAACTGCCAATATATCACTGTCCCATCAGCAAGAAAAGGGTTAAACAGTTTTAGGGCTCAGAGGTTTAGAGGTTTAGAAAGAAATATTGTTAATAACTTGATAAAGGATCTAGACACTGCTTTATTGCAAGTGGTGACAGGCCACAAAGGTTCTGAACCATTGATTTTTATGTTATCTGCAAATTAGGGAAGTAGAAAATTTGCCAAATAAATGCAATGGCAATAAACTGCAATGTTTAAAAAAAATAGTAATCTCAATCACTACTAACAGTTTCCAGGCGCTCAAATAAAAGTACTTGAGGATTGTACTTAAGTATAGTAATTACTCTGTTACATTTCACCATGGCAACATAAACAGTCTCTTTCTAACAATGCGTTGTTTAAGTGTTAGCAATCAAATCATACAGGCCAAATGAAGCCGCCAGTGGGTCTCTTTCTCTGTTCACTGTTTATTATTAATGTGACTGTTAGAAATAATATTGCAAAAGCCCTAAAATAGAGATAATATGCATATCATTCCCTCTCTCCCTCCTCTTTATCTCCTGCCACCCGCAATCAGGCCACTGCCACTGCTGTTTTGTTGGCATCACTAGCCTAGTTACCCCTGTACATTGTCTCCGGCTTCCAGAGGATTATAGACCTCTCTGGCACCATGCTGTGTCAGTATTTGCCTAATGTAGTGCATTGTGTTTATGTGTGTGTGGAAATGTGTGCACATTTTAAGTGGCCAGATTATCGTGATGACACTTTAAATATCAGACGGGCCAATGCGATGAAGGTGCCCTTTCAAATGCAGCTCTCATTGCCTCTCCTGAGGTCTCAGTCAGTCCATCTTTAGAGACAGCAGGAAAGGAAAGGCAGGAGAACAAGTGAGCAGAATAAGGACATTTAGGATTCTATTTGTCATGGCATCCAATTACCACTCTTTTGTGCAATTCTGTTAACCAGCAATGTAAGAATTTGTCCCTCCCCGCCCCCCTTTTGGATTGCAGTGCATGTAATTGGGCTTATAAAAGATATTACAGAATAACAAATGAATTATTAGGAATATTTAATTTCCATTCCTTCCCATTATGTTAGATTCCTTTATGTCTCACTGTTATTGCCCAACATCGTGTTACAAATTTAGCATTTTTAATTTGCATGCCAATTAGCTTATATTGAAAAAAATCAACCAAGTGAGTTCTCCAGTAGTGGTTGTGTGCGTCTGTGTGAGGCCTTCGAAGTAATTAGTCTATTAGCCCAGTTACGGGGCTGCCCTCCACTAACTGTTTAGTAGGAACATTTGGGAATTACCATACACACAAATATAGAAAGCAGTTAATGAACACGCCACATACACAGAACACACAAAAACACACTTAAAAAGCTAGTGTACAAACACACGCTTCTTCAGCGCTGCAGGGTTTATAGAACAAGATGAGAGTGAGTGAATAAAATCAGTGTGGCTTTATTTCACTGATCCACTTAGAAATCTTTTCACTTTTTTGATGTTTGAGCAAATATCCCTGCTAGCTCTGTATGTAAATGTAAGTTCTTACCGATTTTTGCTCACTAATCAGGCCTGAGTCACTCTGACTGATATTTTCATTTCATTATAAAACCTTCAAGACTCCCTATAATGTGCATTTAAAGGTTTGTCTAGATTTTTTTTTTTTTATGTTTTAAGGTTCAAACACATTCTTTTTCTCTTTCTTCTCTTTTATTTGCTGCAGCATTTTTTTTTTAACCTTCTGAAACACTCCATCTTAGCTCCTGTCTCTTTAAGGCCTCTCTCGAAAAGCCCAGTCTTCTCTGATTGGTCAGCTGACAAAAGCGAGGTAACGCTGGTTAGAGGAATATGTAATAAATACCGCTCTAGTGAGGAAATAATGTTGAACTGTGAGGCCAACTCATTCTCTGAGCGTTATGCAAAAGTGTTACATGGTGGAAAAGCCTCGACTTCCAACCAGGTGATTTAGGCAGGTAAAGAAGAGTGTTTGTCTTAGGAGAAAATAAGCTTCTTTGGCATAGACTTTGGGCTTTGCAAATGTGGAGAGCTTTTACATGAACAAAAAAACATATCAATGTAAAGGGAAAGCCCCCCAAAAAAACATCTGGGGTCTTCGTTGTTCGAATCAGTAGAGTTGATCAGGTATTTGTGATTTTTCATTTAGATTCAGAAAAAAATATAGCTTTATTATCACTCATTGCCTGTCCTTATTTTTCTGTCAAACAGAACCCTGTTTCAGAATGTCTGCAGCCATTGAAGGAGATGAGTGCAAATTACTGAATCTTAAAAGTAGAAAACGTGGCAACAATATTTTGGCATTACATGTTTGTTCTTACAGTTTTTTTTTGTTTTTTTTTCAGCAAGTTGGTTCTTGAAAATTCCTATGTAAACTGGCTAAAGCTGAGCTGTTTCCTGTCAAGCTGTGGCCTCAAGCCAAAACAAGTTTCTGTTAAAGGTCAAAGAGGATTCCAGAATGTTGTAGAAATCCAAGGAAAGATATACTGTGACAGGATCCATTGTCCACATTTTTCCAACTCCTGGAAACAATCTTGTGAAAATAATTAGTTCATTAATGCACTTTCATTTACAAATTCCGATATAGAGCGAATGTTACTCCGCTGATTTTAAAAGTTCCTTGCCTGATCAGTATTCAGAGTTAAATGTCATCTTGGATTACTTGGGTTTTGTTTTTGTCTACCTCGCAGTGAAGTTCAAAAGGCACGTTGTGGTCATCTTAGTATGCAGCAGTATTGAGTGCAGCACTGCTTGCTGGATCATTGGGATAGTTAATACCACCTTGCACATTCCTGATTCCCAGCAGTGGCAAACGCTATTAAAGCAGCCTGAGTTGGTCGATGGATAAAGGCAACCTGCTGTGTCCGGGGCCTGGGACCCAGACACTCGGAGAGAGAGTGTGATATTTAGAACAACAGAGAAATACATACAAGGGCAACACATGATAGAAAGAGAGGAGCAAGGGTGCCCACAACAGGAGGCTGAGAACAGAGCTGGTCGATAGTGCTCGTCCCATGCTGTTCTTAGCCTTGAAATACTCCCCCATGGATTGGTTATGCCAGGCATGGACCAGGAGACAGCACACCTCTGCATCCTGTCTGGTTCGGTAGTGCACAGTGAAGGTCAGGTACTGATGATGGGGGAGTGAAGGTGGTCTTCAGGGAAAGGCAATTAAAAAGCATCAACAGTGGAGTTTGTAAAAAGACAAGTTTTGTGTTAAAGTATGCATTTCATTTGTGTGTGTTTTTTGTACACCGCTGGGGAATCCCTTTGACAGGCCACTTGAGTTTCTAGTATCACTGATCCCAGCAGTCAATAGTGAAGACAACTCGGCCAAAGTTGAGAAACTGCTGTCTAAACTTCTCCTACTAATTAACTCCAAAGAAATGCAATCCTTGTCCTCACTGCAATCATCGCTCTCTATCACAAAGTGAATTAAAGAAAGCAAACATGATTACTCGGGCTGTGTGATTGCCCAGCTCAGTATTTTTCTTTATTAGCGAACAAATTTATATTCTCTGATCTAGCTAGCAAAGCCATTTTCTTTGCAAACTTATCGAGTATTGTCACTCTCCATCGCAAAGCAAAAGAATGTAAATAGAGTTACTTGGGCTCTGTGAGGATATTACACTCGGATAATGCATGACAGCTTTTTCCCGTGTTGTTTTAGCGCTTCGACAATTAACTGATCAATTATAAATAAATACGGCAGGACCACTGGAACACCTTGGCGGAGAAGTATAAAATCCAGCTTCAGGAATTGGGTATCATGCTGAGAGTCACTCTATACCCCGCTTGTCTGTGTCAAATTATACACTCGTTAGAGAAGGAAGCTCGCCAAA